TCAGCTCACCACAACCTCTGCCTCCCGGGTTCAAGTGATTCTCCTGCCTGAGTCTCCCGAGTAGCTGGGATTACAGGCATGCGCGACCAAGCTTGGTTAATTTTGTATTTTTAGTAGAGACAGGATTTCTCTATGCTGGTCAGGCTGGTCTTGAACTCCTGACCTCAGGTGATCTGTCCGCCTCGGCCTCCCAAAATGGATCATTATTTTTAGATAACACAGAGGCAGGTGTCCAATTTTTGTTAAAATAAAATGTATCATTTATACCCAAAGATTTAGAATAAATAAAACTATTTCCTGACTTTCATTTTTCCAGAGCGTAACAAAAAGTTCTCTGGAACCACTGAAGGGAGAAGAATGTCTTTCTTTTCTTCTGCTGGTGATGGAAGAGAAGTTCTCTCATTTCACTATTGGAGTACTTCTCTTATCAAAAAAATCCCTCTGACTGATAGATGTTTGCTGTATTCAGCTACCTTATATCACTAGAAAAGAAGCTGAATTCAAAGTGAATTGGATCATCTGAGGTCAAGAGTTCAAGACCAGCTTCACCAACATGGAGAAACCCCATCTCTACTGAAAATACAAAATTGCCAGGTGTGGTGGCACATGCCTGTAATCCCAGCTACTGGGGAGACTGAGGCAGAAGAATCACTTGAACCCAGGAGGCCGAGGTTGTGTTGAGCCCAGATTGTGCCATTGCACTCCACCCTGGGCAACAAGAGTGAAACTCCATCTTACAAAAAAAAAAAAAAAAAATACAATACAAAAAGTGAATTGAGCCACTGTAATATTGTAAAATGTACTTATTGGGTTTTCGTAGCTCTCACTTGGTATGTGCAGCAATGATTAATGGATACACAGACCCTCAAATACTTAGCATGTCTTTATTAGCAATCCCTTCCAGCACCCCAGTTTGAACTACTGCATTAAGTTTTCACTCCTCAACTTGTATCTCCTTCCCCTTGGCCTCTTAAGTGGTACAAAAGCATCGATCAGTTGTTTCTCATAAAATACAGTCAAGTAACCCCGGGCAACATCCCCATTTCACAAATGATGCAAAATAGCCCATAAACAATTCTGCCTTTTCTATTTCTGGAAACACTCCCTTTAGGAAGCCAATCTTGTTTTCCTCCTGACTGGTGAGGCTGGTTTTTCAGTCCTAGGTAAAGTTCCACAAGAAACTTTTTGTTATTTACTTGAGACTTATTGCCCTGTCTGGAGTTTCTAAAAAATGACTTCAAAAATGTTAAATCTGGAAAATTCTACTCAACCTTAATTGAACAATAGTTCAATAGTTCTCTTCAATACATTTTTTAAATCATGTGTTCTTTCTGTCCTTGGCCAGGTGCACAAAGATTTTTATAACGTGATAATCAGAGTATATACCTAAGTTTATACTCAGCCTTTTTATCAGTTAGTATAATAACACAAATATTTTTCAAGCTGCTGCATAGCAACATAATTTTTGCTTTAAAGACTGTATAATAAGCCAGGTACAGTGGCTTATGCCTGTAATCCCAGCACTTTGGGAGGCCAAGGTGGGCAGGTTATGAGGTCAAGAGATTGAGACCATCCTGGACAACATAGTAAAACCCCATCTCTACTAAAAACACAGAAATTAGCTGGGCGTAGTGGCATACACCTGTAGTCCTGGCTACTTGGGAGGCTGAAGCAGGAGAATTGCTTGAACCCGGGAGGCATAAGTTGTGGTGAGCCGAGATCATGCCACTGCCCTCCAGCTTGGCAACAGAGCGAGACTCTATCTCCAAAAAAAAAAAAAGACTGCATAATTTTCCCCCAAATGAGTGTATAGTAATTTACTAAACCTTTTCCACTTGCATCGGAAAATTAAGCCAGTTATAATCTTTATACTATAAATAACACTACTATGAAAATCTGCATATATAACATTGCTGTGAAATCCTTCATGGAAAGAAAGAAAATATTTTCCTTTGGATTGCTCTGTAGGATACTCATTATTTAGAGAAAATGCCTAAAAGTGGGAAGAACAGATTCGAATATTTATGAGCTGTAATGCTGGCTAGCGTTTCTGGAAGCACTGACAATGTAACAAACTTAGCGTTAGGCCTACTTCTATTTGGCGATGAATGCTTGTCCCTACTGTACAACTAACTCAGAGTAACCTTCGGTACTTCCCCAGTGTCGGCTGGTAACAGATGAGCCTTTCATAACTTTTCAGCAGAGATTGAAAAAGAAAATGAGTAACAGCTGCCTAATGCCTTTGGAAACTTCCCGGTGGTTCCCTATTTAGCGACCACCTGTTAGCAAATATGACTCATGACTCATTAAAAGGGAAGAGAATAGGACTAGGAGTTTCGGAATCTATTATCTGTGAGCACATTTATCATCTCATTTAATCCTTACAAAAATGTGATTATTCCCATCTTCTAGATGAAGCTGAGGCTCGAAGATTTTAGACAACTTGGAGGCCAGGTATGAACATGCTTGTTCCACTGTACCATGATGATTATCTCTATTATAACCTACATCTCTTTTCTTTCTTTCCCTGCCCCACCCCCCCAACCATACACACGTACCCGACCCCATAGATTTAATATGCCTCTTTCTGGGTTACGACTCCAGCCGTATACCCAATTACTGCTATTGCCCTTGATTTCCTACATAGTGATTTATCAAGCTAGTTGTTCTAGTACTTTACCTAAAAATTACACATGCCATTCCTACAAAGTCCCAGGGTTTTTAGTAAAACTTGACTTTTTAAACCTCAGTTTAATTGAGAAAAAGAAATTTAAGAAATTTTTAAAAGGCAACAACAGAAGAGATTTGCGCTAAGACATTAAACATAGTTCTTTAAGAAATATCTAGCAGTTAGTACCAGAAGTAAAACAATTTTTATCAGTGGATCAGAATTGTGTGTATGTGTATGTGTACACATATTTACACTACATGCCCACGTGGACATTTATGTATATATGCATAGATTTAACCTCTGAAAACAGTGGCTCTTTAAATCCACAATAAAATATGTAATGGGTTTGTTGAGAAAATTGACTATCTCTTTGGAAATAAATGAGTTGAGATATTTTATAATATACCTTAAAACAAATTCCATATGGATTAAAGAGCTAAGGAAACCTATAAAATATTTGGAGAAAACAGAGAAGAATAATCTTATCATATCAGAGTAGGACAAGGCTTCCCAAGCTTGTGGCCAAGGCCAGGTTAGAAATAAAAATGGACGCATTTGGTCACTTAAACACTTTAAAACTCCACATTAAAAAATCATCAAAATAAATTTAAAGCCAAACTGTAGTTGAAAAAATACTTGAAAATATATGTGAGGTGGGGTGCAGTGGCTCATGCCTGTAATCCCAGCACTTTGTGGGTCTGAAGTGGGTGGATCACCTGAGGTCAGGAGTTCAAGCCTGGCCAACATGGTGAAACCCCATCTCTACTAAAAATACAAAAAAAAATTAGCCTAGCGTGGTGTTGTGTGCCTATAATACCAGCTATTCAGGAGGCTGAGGCAGGAGAATCCCTTTAACCTAGGAGACAGAGGTTGCAGTGAGCCAAGATCGCACCATTGCACTCCAGCTTGGGCAACAAGAGTGAAACTCAGTCTCAAAAAAAAAGAAAGAAAGAAAATATATGTGAGACAAGATTATTAAAAGGACTTATATGACCAATAAGATTAAAAACAAACAACCTAATGGAAAGACAATTCAAGGGGGAAAGTAATTAGTAAGCACATGAAATATACTCAACTCACTAGCATTCAAGAAAATGTAAAGTGAAAGATCTAGATACCATTTTTTTAAAACTTCAAATCAGCAAAATTTTAAAATGTTCATAATTTTGAGTATTGAATAGGCATGAAGGCATAGATACACCTATCGTGTTGGTGAGCAATCCATACTGTAAAGTCTTAACAGATACAATTTTATCATAGTGTATAATGCCTAACCTCAAAAAGATGGAACCAGCATAAACATCACCTGTAAGGGAATGATTAATTAAATTATAATATATTCACAGTATAGAATACAATAAAACACAATGCAAAGCAAAAAGAAATGATGAAATCCTATATGACCAGATGTGAAAAGATCTCCAAAATGTATAATTAATTTTTTAAAATTCAGGCTATAAAACAATCCAGCAACATATTTTCAGTTATGTTTTTAAAAAAGTATTTATACGTAAGTACACAGGAAAAAAGTTTCAAAGATGTAAGTCAAACTGTTCATTATGGTATCCATGGGTACAGAGAGCAACACCTTATCTTTCTTTAGCATTTGCATCTTTTAAAATAAAACTGTATTGGTATCTACATCATAATTTTTAAGTATGCCTAAAACATAAGAAGAAATTGACATCCTAATAGTCATGGGAGAAAAATGTATCTGTAAGTGTTTAATGAAGTAGGTAAAGATTTAAGTGAAGATTTAGAGTAAATGAACACTAAATAAAATTTGATTACATGTTTTAATCCTCTTACCTGACATAGGATATAATTTTAGACTTAGCACCCTCTCCCTGCACACACATACATACACGAACACACACATATACACACACAGCAAAATGACACAAGAACAGAAAACCAAACACTGTATGTTATCACTCATAGGCAGGTGTTGAACAGTTAGAACACGTGGACACAGGGAGGAGAGTATCACACACTTCGGTCAGTAGTGGGGGGCTCGGGGAGGGACAGTGGAGATGGGGAGGGATAATGAGGGGAGAAATACCAGATATAGGTGTTGGGGGGATGAAGGCAGCAAACCACCTTTCCATGTATGTACCTATGCAACAATCCTGCATGATCTGCACATGTACCCCAGAACCTAAATCACAATTAAAAAAAAAAAGAAATGTCAACAAATTCAAAACATCGGGTTTTTTCCTTGACCAGAAGACAGTGAAAAAAGAAATTTCTTTTAAAAGTTAAAAAATTTTAAGTCCAACAAGTTGGGAATCAAAACACACCACAAACACACCAAAAGTGCTCAAACAGACACATGGAAATGAAGCCTGGAAGGACCCATTCCCAAAATGATTAGCTCTGGGTGGTGAGGCTGTAATTGTTAGTTTTTCTTATGCTCTTTCTTATATTCTTTATTATGATTATCCAGTATCTCCTAGATCCTCTAAATAATAAGGAGTAACTTCCATAGCAAATCAATTGGCAGTGAGAGCTATTTGTTTGTTTGTTTGTTTGTTTGTTGTTTTTAAGACATGGAGGCATGGGGAAGTGGATTAACAATACAATATTTTCGTAGCAGCTAAATCAGGGGTTGGCTCAGTCCCTGGGAGGTTTTTGTTGTTCTCAAATTCTCATTAATCCTGGAGCATGCTCACACTCCAACGACAACCACTAAAACTTGCTTCTCAACTAAGAGCTGAAAACTCACAACTCTGCTATTAATTTTTATTGGAAAATCTCAATGTGTATATGTGGTATAGGCTATGCCACTTGGCTGACTTGGCTTCAAATCCTGGCCTCCATCCTTATTGATCGTATGATATGAACTCGAGTGCATGCTTTTAAGCTCTCCACCCTCTACTTTTCTATGTGTATATGTGGAAACAAGAATGTCTCTTTCATTGGAAATTTTGAAGGCTTTAGTGGAAAAGTATATACAAAGTTCTTGACGTAGTGTAGGGATGTGCTGATGTACTCAATAAGTGGTAGATATTTTATTCACACATGAATATTAATTATGTTTTAATTCTCACTATGCAGCCATAAAAAAGAACAAGATCATGTCCTTTGCAGGGACATGGATGGAGCTGGAGGACATTATCTTTAGCAAACTAAGGCAAAGAACAGAAAACCAGATACCACATGTTCTCACTTATAAGTGGGAGTTAAATGATGAGAACCCATGGACACATAGAGGGGAACAATACATACTGAGGCCTGTAGGAGGGTGAAGGGTGGGAGGAGGGAGAGGATCAGGAAGAATAACTAATGGTACTAGGCTTAGTACCTGGGTGATGAAATAGTACAACAAACCCCCATGACTCACGTCTGCCTATGTAACAAACCTGCACTTCCTGCACATGTACCCCGAACTTAAAATGAAAGTAAAAAAAATGACATATTAATTCTCACATGAATGTTTATATCAATATGCTATGTTAATTTACAGTGTTTTAAAACTATTTATGTAATTATAAGATATCATATTGATTCTAAATTAACAATGACCAGCCTCTCACAATTTTCTCTTAAGATTCGCTGCCCAGTAATGATCATTTCTTTTTACCCTAGATTGTGCTTAAGAGTTACAAAGATAATTATTGTCATTATATAATTGATATTGTATTTTACAAAGTGTTTTATATACCTATTATCACTCTCTTCCTTTCCAAAAAAAAAAAAAAAAAGGCATAATAATTACACTTATTCTCCAGGGAGGTGTGGTTTTTATTCTGGATCTGATCTTTTGATGCCTCTGAAGACAGCTTGCCTGGGTCCCAGCAAGATACCATAATGCTATGAGGACTAGCAAAGGCTCATGGCTGAGCCCAAATCCTCTTCTCTTATAATTGAGAATACTGTTGTCTAAATATAAAACTCACAAAAAAAAAAAAGAAAGAAAGAAAAGAAAAGAGAAAGAGAGAGAGAAAGAGAGAGTTCTCTCTAGAGAACAAAGTTTTGAGGATAGACAGCAGGGAGCAGTCTGCCAAATTACAGCACCTTTTATTTCTTTAATGCATTCAACTCTCTCTTTCCCACCAAAAAAGATCATAGCGATTAATATTTTTATTTTTCTACCAATTGTTTAAGATTGCAAATTTGATTATACAGATGAGGTTACTGAGTTTCCAGAGACATTAGGAAATTGGTCCGAAGTCGTCCAGTAGATTCAGACCTAGAGGTCTCTTCTCGGGGCTTGCAAAACAAAATTGACCATATGGTCCCCCAGAGAAATGAACAATCCAGAGGAAACACAGCCTTTTCAGATAGGCAGATGCCTGCCATTTAACCCATTTCTTCTCTCAACATATTAGTCTGTCTGTGGCTGGGCATGGTGGCTCACGCCTGTAATCCCAGCACTTTGGGAGGCCGAGGCGGGGGGATCACGAGGTCAAGAGATCGAGACCATCCTGGCCAACATGGTGAAACCCCGTCTCTACTAAAAATACAAAAAATTAGCTGGGCATGGTGGCGTGTGCCTGCAGTCCCAGCTACTCAGGAGGCTGACGCAGGAGAATTGCTTGAACCCAGGAGGCAGACGTTGCAGTGAGCCGAGATAGCACCACTGCACTCCAGCCTGGGTAACAAGAGTGAGACTCCGTCTCAAAAAAAAAAAAAAAGTCCATCTGCTTAAAGCTTTTTTTTTTTTTTAGTCTTACATGGTAACGATTTGCAATGGCTTCAAGATTGAAAGAACTAGATTAGAAGGAGAAATGGAGATTCAGCAAGCGTCACTCAGGTTTGGCTGGGAGAGGAGGACAGAATG